TTGACTTTTGTGAATACTCCGCGAGAGTTTAAGATTAAGTAAAGGAAGGAAGAGAGAAAGAGAGTATAACAAGTCAGGAGTTTCCCGTAGAGAAAGTCGGTAAAAAAGGTTAGTTTATTTGTATTTTTGCCTCCTATTTATAAAGACGTATTTTTTATAATTATAGAAAGGAGAGAACAGTTATGGAAATCACTCTTAATGCAATTGATGCTCTAATTGATCGTATTGATTTCATATCATATATGTATTATAATTTAAATTTTAATATGCCGGTAACGTGACTAGTCGACCTGTTTTAATTCGACAGACTGAGACGACCGACTGAGTGGCGATCGTGTCATGGGCTGGTCAGCCAAGTAACCCAATTGAATGTTGATCTTGTCTGTCGCGGTAAAGTGGGTCGAGAAATTTGCTGCTATCAAGGATTCTCGCCTACGCCTCGGTCTGTCGGGATTGTTAGTGTGCTCTGTTGTTCAAATATCTCACCATAGTGTGTTGTTTGATTCTTGACAATGTTGTTGGTAGTAAAGCAGTAAGACGCCTTGACTGTGTGGTTGTAGTCTGGGTCGTTCGAATCATTTGAGATTCGTGTCGATTGGCCCGAAGTACATCTGCTTTGATTTTGAGCCTAGGCACCGGTCACTTCCCGAGTGACGGAAAATAGTTGTTTTTTACACCGTTTCGACCTCCGAGGCCTCCAAAATCACAGAGGTTTATGATGATGAGCCTTGAGATGGGAAAGAGAGTGTACAATACCCCTTTTGCCCTACTATAGAAGCATCCTATGCGTTCTATGTGGGGATTTTCGGCCAATTACAGGGCGCATTGGCTTAAACAGGGGGAATACCTCATTTCTCTCAGACTCTCGCTCGAGCTCTCTAGGGGTGGCGCTTGGGCTATGTCTCCGTCTCCCTCTCCTTCTTCATCAGTGGGCAGCTGAAGAGAGTTTTTGCGGAGAGCTTAAAGAGGCTTTTAAGGAGAGCCGGTGTGGAGCTTTTAGGGGGAGTCGTGAGGGGTGTTGTCGGGGAAGGCTCCCTTTAGAGAGAGCAAGGGAAGAGGAAGGGGTCCTCTTTCTCTCCTTCTTGCTCATCTCCTCCCTCTTCCTCCACCATGCATTTTGATTGTACATGAGGAGATCGTCGTGAGTAGAGCTTCATCCTAGCTTGAGAAGGATCGTCGAGCAGGGGAAGAATCACCGGAGCATCGTCGGAGCGTCGCTGGAGTGACGTCACAGCATGGGCTTCTCTCCTACCAATAAGAGAGCTTCCTCCCACTTGAATAAACACATCCTCAATCTTTGCGGTGGTGATAACCTCTGAAAATCTTGCATTTTATTCCTTAGCCGATCCCAGGATTGTCTAGGTTTTGCGTTGTGGGTTTGGCCACCCATACGGGGTGAGCGTGGTCGGTTAACGTTAGTCGCACGACTGCGCTCCCTTTTTTTGGCTGTTGGTTTCCTAAGGGGCCTCTAGGTTGGGAGCTTTTGTAGGACATGGCTATGTGAATCTGAGAGTTTCCCCTTTGCGAGCCCTAGATCCTTATCCTAGCGGGTTGAAATCCTAATTTTCCAAGGCTTTGGCACTCCTAACCTTTATTGGAAGGGTTGGAGAGTTTGATTGCAAAGAATGAGAAAAGCTTTATAGCTAACCCATCCTATAAGATCACAGGAGTTTGTAGGACAGAAAAAGCTTTGTAGCTAATCCGATCTACTAACACTGAATGATTTGCCCTACAAGAAATCGAAAGGCGAAATCCTCTACATTTTTTCACGCTAAAGCCTGAGGCGGCTGTGCCATAAATCCAAGAGCGTCAACCTAAGGTACCTATCTGAGGTCGTTAGGACAAATTCAGAGTGTTGTCAAGCGTGTTGGGTTGCATTGCATATGCGTGAGCCACCTTGTTGCATTTTTTGCATGTGGTTTTCTTTTTGCACATCATATGTGTGCTAGCATGAGCACTTCGGGTTGATTGGCCGCCCCAGGCCAGTCCCCGATCCAATTCTGGGTTTGGTGGACCACTACATATCGATCACCCGATTTGGGTTCGATGTGTTGTCCCGTGTCGATTACCCTATCTCTCGGGTTTAATCGACTGTGATGTGTCGATCACCCGCTTTGGGTTTGATCGGCCGTCTCGGGCTGATCACCTTATCTCTCAGGTTTGATCGATTGCTATGTGTCGATCACCAATTCTGGGTTCGATCGACGGTCTCGGGCCGATCACACTTTCTCTCGGTCTTGATCAACCACTACGTATCGATCATTCGTTTTGGGTTTGATCGGTCGTTTCGGGCTGATCTCCCTGACTTTCATGTTCGATCGACCGCTACGTGTCTATCACCCACTTTGTGTTTGATCGATTGTCCCAAATCAATCACTCTATCTTTTTGGGTTTGAATAGCTACCACGTGCCGACCTCCCATTCTTTTGGTTTCGGTCGACCGCCACGTGTTGATCTCCTACTCTTTTGGGTCTGATTGATTATTTCAGATTGATCAACCCATCCTTCGGTCTGACTGGCTGCCAGTGCCCGACGACTGACCGCTCACATGTTTGTATGCTTTTGCATCATGTTGCATGTTCTTTTGCATGTGCACGTGTCTGATTGCTTGCTTGCATGGTGCATTATACCCTATATGTTCTTGTCATTTGCATCCGTGTTTGGTCATTATTGGGGCATGATGTAATTCTCCTTAGTGGCGTTCTATAACGTAGGCGACATAAAACAATATTGGCTTGAGATGCATTCTAAGTGTTCATTCATATCCATTCCACTTGTGTGATTCTCCCCAATGAGGATCATCATTGTTCAGGTTGGTCAAGAAGAGATGACACATTGTAGGGTCATCGATTTGGAGCAGACCGACGAATGATTCAAACGACGCTACGTGGTCGATCAAGTCGGTCATTCTATTATAAGAATCCATGTGAGGAATCTTTAGCTTGGGTGGTGGTGCCGCTTCTTTAATCTGGCATATAAAAGCCCCTCCTACGAACGGCGACAGGAACTCGCATATGCTCTTTCCATTGCTTGTTTTTCTGCACAGACGCGACTGTGTTGGTGTGCTGGGACTTGCCTTGCACCTTTGTCCACTGGTTGTTGACCTGACTGTCTTGAATAGGAGGTTTCCCTGGTGGGGCCATTTGGGGATGGACCCCCTGAATTTTTGCTTCCAGATAAGATGCCTGGTCGTTCCTCTAGGCGATTTGTGCTCGGAGGATCTCAAATTCCTCCATCATGGATTCATTTAGGTTTGTAAGCCTTGGACTTGAGCATGGACGTCTGGTTGTGTAGCATCTGTAGTAGGTTCCATGCGTGTTATCTCTATTTGAGAAATTTCTCTTCATAGTATTTTATGCTTCTCGTCTGTGGCATGTCCACGCTCACCGCACTACTTTTTAGGATGCTGAATCCTAAACTGTCATTTGTGAACACGCTCCGAGAGTTTATGATTGAGTGAAAGAAGGAAGAGAGAAAGAGAGTATAACAAGTCAAGAGTTTCCTATTGATGGGGTTGGTAAAAATAATATTTTTATTTGTATTTTTATCTCCTATTTATAGCTGCGTATTTTCTATAATTACAGAAATGAATGAATAGTTATGAAAATCGTCTTAATGTAATTGATGTTCTAATTGATTGTATGGATATTCATACCATATTTGTATTACAATTTGAATCTTAATATGATGGTAACTTGGCCAGTCGACCTGCTTGAATTTGTTCGACGAAGGTGACTGGTTGAGTGGCGACCATGCCATGGTTTGGTCGGTCAAGTCACCGTATTAAGTGTCAATCTCATCTGCCATGGTAAAGGCATGTCGACCGATTAACCGCGATCAAGGATCCCCGCCTACGCCCCCTTCGGGTGGGACTGTTGCATGGTCTGCCGTTCGAATCTCTCAACATAGTGTGTAAGTCAATTCTTAACCCCGAGGTTAGTTGTAGGGCGGTAGAACACATTATTTGTCTGACTGTCGTCTGGGCCGTTCGAATGTTTTGAGATTTGTTCTGACAGTAGTAGTGTATACACACATATATGCATCTTACATGTAGGGTTGTGAATTTAGCTCAAATATTGTTAATCACTCGAAAATTGATTCAAATTTTGACTCTTATCAAAATGAATAAACCGAGGAACCTAGCTACGATCTAAAATTTTGGATCAATTTTTTTTTGTTCAGCCTGACCCTAACTCGACTTGAAATTAAATCATAAACCACCCTAGTGATGTTAGGGCTATAAATTTAGTGAATTTAACACGAAGATCGTTAATTGCTCGAAAATTGATTCAAACTTTGACTCGAATTAAAATAAATGAGCCGAGGTACTAGCCAAAATTTTGGATTGAATTTTTTTTTTCGTAGATGCTAGAAATTGGATTGTTAACTGCCTTACATACTTAAATAAAAATGCATATTCTTTTTTTTTTTAAAATATAAAAATAGTGTCTTTATGTGATTAGATAAATAAAAAAATCATAATTGAATCTTCGACACGGCAAATCCACTCCTGCACCTACTAAGTCCAAAAAGTTTACGTCTTCTGCTTTATTGGGTGTGGGTGAAGTAGTTTTGGCATCAATGAACAAAAAATAACTCCAATGCTCCATTTTGATAAATGCAAGATGGACATTTGATGCTAGAGTTCGACTAACAAAGAGGGAGCAATTGTTGCTCCACTTCGACTAATGTTGAATACAACCTTAAATATATGTTGGACGAAACTTTGTCAAGATGAAAGAAGGTGATTTAGATTATGAGATATAATTAAGATTACATGTACATTTATAACATTGTACTTTTCGTTCTATTTTTCTCTAATTCAAGTTAAGCCCATGTCTAATGTTTTGTTGGGGGCATCTTGGACAAGTCGATTTCAAAATAAATTCAGACACATTTTATAATATCAAACTCATTTTATGGCCTATCGGAGCCGTGTTAGACGAATAAAACGACGCAATTTTAGATGTGTAGTTGCTCACTGGCTCCATAGAGATCAATAAATAGAAGGGTGGGGTTTGGTTGTAAATTGTAATTTAAAATCCCTAAATTTCATTCTGAAAGTAACTAAAAAGACCCCCAAAAAAAAAAAAAATAATGTTACATCGCCTCTAAGGGATATAATTTACATCGAATTTCACCCAACCCTTTTCACTTCCTCCCTCGCTTCTTTTGCGGCGGCGGCACCGAACGTTTCGCCGGCACAGCTTCCACCTTCTGTCTCTTTGCCGGAGGTGGACTAGGTGTTGGCGGCGTCTTTTTCGGTGGCCGTCCTACACTTCTCTTCGTTGGAGGACCTGACTCCGCATGTGCCGAGGCCGCCTCCTTCCGTCCTTCTCCCTTCGCACCCCTCTTCTGCTCCGATCCTTTCCCACCTGATCCACCCCCAGAGCTTTTCAGCGAGTTCAGAAGAGTTCCGGTAGATGAACTCTTCAAACGATTCAGAAAGCTAGCAGCATTTTTCTTCTTTGGTGTCACGTTAGAAGGAGCTGCGATAGCTTTCTTTTCTACCTTCGTTGGAGCTTCAGGAATCTCCTCAGCGATTGGGCTTGGTTTCGATGCAGGAGTCGGCTTTGATGTCCTCGAACCAGAACCAGCAGGTATGCCGCGGCTTTTGTTAGTCCTTAAGCCCCTCGTTCCCGATACCTTTGATCTCTCCTTTGTCTTCGGTTTCGCAATGCCGCTCTGCTTGTCACCGTCCCGCTCCCGCTCCCTCTCCTTCTGACCCGAATCCGAATCATGTTCCCTCTCCTCCTTCCCAGCCACTTCCACCTCGCCGGCAACTGCAGCCTTAGAGATGGAGCTGCGCTTCCGGCAAACAATTAGGGAACCCGACGATCGGTTCTTCTTCGGAAGCGGATTGTTGAGATCTGAATCGAGCTTCAATTTAGTAACCATTTTCGGAATCGGCAGTGAGGGCTCCTTCAGAGGCTCCTCCGGTGTCGGATGAACAGGCTTTGGCAAGATCGCGGCCATTTCCTTAGAAACCATCTGCCGTAAATGAACTGCAGCTGTTGATTCCGACGAGGACTTACGGAAGAAGACGATGGCATTGTTGCACAAAAGCAGGAGATCGCGGAAGAACTCCGCGCTCGAGTACTTAACTCCCCTCCGCTCCAGCCTCGAACGCACGATCTCCAGGTCCACGTGTCTCCTAATGACGCTCCGGTACCTCGCGTTTTCCTATATCAAGATCATAATTAAAAAATATATTATTAATATCAATTATCCATTTATATCATTCCGGGAAGAAAATGGCGTGTCAGAATGCCGTTGGTATGATGAAATCTTTCAGTAAGTGTGACAATATGAACGTATTATTTTTATAAATAAATAAAATAAAACATATAAATAACAATAAATAATATTTAAAAAAAAGGTAAGAAGTCAAAATGACGCGGGAAATTTTGGGAGATGAAATTCAGTTGGCCCAAAAGAGCGGCATCTGCCATGGATACAAGTAGGGCTATACAATGAAGCGCTCCTCGAGGCCGGCGTGATCTGCTATCCCGCAGGCACACCTAATTTTTTTATGGGATTTTTATACAGTAGCCATCCTTCTAAGTTTTAAATATAATATTTTAATTAATTTTTTCATTACAATCATCCTCTATTACGCACTGATGAAAATTTCGAGTCAAAATTATGAATAATTAATTATATTTAAAATTTAGATGATTAAAATGAAAAATTCAATACTTTAAGTGATGCTCATGTAAAAACCTCTTTTCAATTTATCCGTTAGTGATAGATATCATTCGACTGCCAAATAATTAAATGAAAGTTCTTTTTATACGGGACGTATGATCAAGATCCGACGGCGGATCCAGCTCCATCAAAGTTCTAGAAAAAGAGTACTCTATTCATTTCTTTTACGGGAATTCGTCGTAGTGGTCCATCCACCGAACTACACATTAAAACTGGATATTAAAATTTTAAAATATGAAAATATTATAAATTATTTTATTTTAGAAATAAAAACATTTAATCCTCATACGAGACTTTTTTAGAAACTAAGCAAAAGAAAAAATTCTTTTAAATTCAAACAATAATAACTATAATTAAAATTACAAATTTTTAAAAGATTAAATATCAACTTTAATAATTTTATATATTAAAGAAAATGTAACCTAAAAAAAATTGATAAACCTGCCACTCAATTCCTATCTATATACATATTGAAATCCTACACATCAATTTTTATATATGTGCATTAAAATTATTATTTTTTAAAAATTAAAATAATGATATTTTTATGTGATTTTAAAAATTTAAATAATATAAAATTTAAAAAAAAGTAAAATATAGGAATTATATAGATATATATATATATATATATATATATTATAATGAGTGGAATGTAAGTAAATACCTCTTTAAAAAATTCAAAATGGAAAATTTAATCGATTAACGAAAAAAAAAAATAGGACAGAACGATAAAAATACCTGGCCCTCGAGCCGGCTCAAGAAAACGGATCCGTACTTGCTCGATCGGATGATCTCGAGGAAGGCAGCCAACGGTTGCGATTCAGGGGCGATGATGTGATTGGCCTCGGCGGCGACGGCCGGTGAGAAGGCATCAGTCTCCACCTCCTCGGCGACGCTGCTACTGCCGGAAATCGCCTTCCTCAGCCTCCGTCGACGGCGTCTCGATAGGCTCACCGAGCTCTGAACGTCGCTGCTCTCCTTCTCGCCGGCTACCGACTCCCCAGATTCCCCCAAAGGAGGAGGAATAGCCTCAGCTGTTTCATACCCTTTCGATAGAGTCTCCGAGCTCCCGTTGCACGATGCCTCGCGAGCTGGCCGATCCATATCCATCTCATCTTGTCCATCAGCTTTCGTCTTCTCTGCCTCCGTTCCCTCGCCACCGCCGCCAGTTTTCGCGTTCTTAGCCTTCGGATTGGTTGAGTTGGACTCCTTGCAAGACCCCCCGGAATCCCCAGCAGAGATTCGATCTATGGCGAACGTTGGTGTAGCGGGTACTGGCGACTGGCCGTCTTTATTCGTCTCCTTATCCTTCAGATCCGGTTCTCCCTCATCGACTCCGCTCCTCTCTCGCTCCTCTTTCAAATTCTTCAGCTTTAATTGCAAAGATCTGTAAAATTAAATTAAATTAAATCTCAGATCATCCCAGCCGTCTGATTCTCATCCAACGGTTCATAAGAAAATTCCAAAAAAATCCTCAAAACCCATCGGGTTTCAGAGGGATGATGATTTATTTTACGTGATCGAGACGTCGTATCGGTCGACTTCGCGACGGAGTTCGGCCATCCGTATCTTCCGGAGTTCATCGAGCCAAGGAACATCCGCCGGCGATCCTCCATCACCGCCGCCACCGGCGACGTCCGCCGGTTGGTCGGCTGTTTCCCTGATGCCGTCGCCGCCGGATTCGAAGCGACGTTTTAGATCTAGGTATCGCTGGCGGCAACTTTGGGGTGTGAGGAGATCGGAGAAGGAGCTTCGGGTTCGGATCTCCATGGCGATGGAGTCCCAACTGCGGGTGCCATGGCGGTTAACGGCGCATGCGAGGAGTAGCTCCTCCCAGGTGCCCCAGATCCCGTTCTCCAGATCGGCGGATCTCGTCCCTGAGTCCATGAGCAACACTTAAATCGCCGCCTCCATCTACGCCTCGGCTCCCTTGTTATTTCTTTTCGAACCCTAGTTTTCCCCCTCTCAATTCCGGTCCGGCTCGCTTCTCCTTGTTTACATATCTTCTTTGTTTATACTATAAACATGTCTTTGTTCTTCAGTTTTTTTTTTTTTTTTTGGGTTAACTTTTAAGTAATATCATTAAAGAAATTCTAAATGATTTGTTTATTTATTTCGTTATGATCGAGCTATTACCGGGGTTGAGGAAGATTTTATTGGGCCTCCCCCACCCTTTTTAATATATAATTATTTAAAATTTGATTAAAATATTAAATATAAAGTTATTTTCTATTTATTTTTTGAAATATTAAATCTAATTAATATTTTCATAAAATCTAAATATTTAGCGCATATGAAAATTTATATAATCGGTTATGGGTTGGGTCAACCAATTTAATGACTTGGAAGGTAGGTAATCATGACCCGTTATTATAATTATGGAATAATATGCATAATACAAGAGTTATTGAAGCTCTCCGTATAGAGATGAACGCAGGAGCAGCGGCGGTGAATGAGTCAATTCGACTTGAGTTTGAGAGACTCTCGCTTGATATTGAGCATCATCAAATTAATCAAGTTTAAGCTTGAGCTCGAGCTTAATTCTATTAGTTTGATCCTACTTAAAATATAAAATATTATTTTCTTACAATATTTTCAATAATTTAAAGATAAAAAATTTAATTTCAATATATTCTGAGTGTATTTCATTAAAAATTATTTTCAAAATCGAGCCGATTTATGAGTTAATGAGGCAAGTCGGGGCTAGCTCGAGCTTGATTTGTTAGTTCATCAAATTTGATTCACAATCCACTGGGCTCAACTCGGCTCACTTCCACCACTATAGACATTAATCTGTTACGGGTCATAATCATGTTTGAACCATTATCCACCTGCTACTGCGATTTGATGAGACGGGAGAGAGAGAAGGGGGAGGCTTTCCTGATGAAAATTAATATAAAAAATGGGCGAAGGAGCACGATGCCATAGGCAATGCATACAGGCGTGAAATCAACTCAGAAACAACCTGCTATTTTTTTTAGTATTACCGACTAATTAAAAGACAAATTTGAATTTGAAATGCCCAAACATCTCCTATATGATTAATTTATAAATAGGCGCATTTACATACATACCACCTAATTCCTATTTCCTATGCATTTACATATTTAACATCTATTTTTAATTTCATATTTACACGTCTCAAATCTTTCGAATCACACTATAAAATGCAACTATGTTAATTTTTGAAAAGTGAAATGCACATTTCTATGTATAGAAAGATGATATATATATATATATATATATACATAAAAATTAATTAATAGGCATATAAATCTTCCTTTCATTATAAAAAGGGGTGTAAATTTGTTATGCCGGGCTCGACTCACTTTTTGGCCCGAGCTTGAGTTTAACTCTAGAAGTTTTAAGTCGGCTCTTATTATAAAATAGAGAAAATAATAATAATAATTAAAATTAGTGTTATAAAATTGAAAAAAAGAATATTTGGAAGATAATTAATAAGAACACACTTTAAATAAAGCATAAAATATTAAATATTTTTAATAACTTCAATATGAAGTCTTGAATTTTAACTTATTGTAAGTATATTTTATATTTATTTTTTTTTAATTTTTTTTTTTAAAAATTGACTCTCAAATTAATGAGTCAAGTTACCACTCGCTTAAACTTAACTTATTAGCTTATCGAGCTCAATATGAACTACTTAGTTGAGCTTAATTGGCTCACGAACCAACTTGACTCAATTAGATCCCTCATCGAATTAGTTCAAAAATCAAATTAATCACCTTACCCTAACATCAAATCAAAAGCATGTAGGCTGTACATACACGCTGTTATAACTAACTATCATTAAATAAAGATGCGAACTTAGTCGTTGTTGATGTCAATGAACTTGGCATGATTATTTAAGTTATTATTTTCTCAATGAAGAGCATGGAACCGGACAATACGAAACAATTAGTAATTTTTTTGAGCCATGAAATTGTTCTATATAAACTATAAAACACGACCTGTCCGCATAAATGTTTCGGCGCACGCTTTTTTTAGCGAGTTCAAATTTGTTTAATTAAGTAATTATAGAAACAACCTTTCACCATGCATGCGGGCATTTGCAATTTCTCGAGCAACACGACAAAAATTGCATAAATTTGTGGATAATTTTTATTTTGCAAATTATCAATAAATTTAGTTTAATGATAAATTTACGCGGCAAATGGGGCTTTTTATGGAAATCTTGTTAGTTGGGGACTCCTTTTATGAGATTCAAAATTGGGTTATTTTTAGGTGTGTACACGAATCGAACACAAATCGATAAAGCTTGTGTTCGTGTTCGATTCGTTTGAAATTTGGTTTGTTTGAAATAAGCTTGTGCTCGAAATTGTTTATGAAATCATTATTCGTGTTCGTTTCTTAAAGAACGAGCCGAACACGAGCTATTCGCAAAACGAAGAGCCAGCTTGACATCCCTAATATTAATATATATAAATAATATATTATATTAATTATATAACTTATATTATATAAATATATAATATGTATATTAGTATATTATTAATATAGTATATAAATATATTATTATTACTAATTTATTATATATTATAATGAACGAACGCATCACTGTTAGTGTTTGATTCGTTTAACTAACCGAATGAATAAATTTATTCACGTTCGTCTCGTTTACTTATCGAACTAATCGAACACGAACTCATTGACGATCCGAACACAAACTGTTCGCAAACAACGAGCTTTTTTTAACAGCCCTAGTTATATCATTGATGGAATCAGAATTCGAAGAAGAGGAAGAAAAAATTTAAAAAAAATCATTTTTTTTTAAAACTAAAATAAAAAAAAATAAGGAATTAATAAAATACCTGAGAACATCTTTTAATCTATTCATCATTATTTTATATCATAAATTATATCCAAAATTATTCAGTGAATCTGTATGAAAAATCATTGTAATTTTTTTTTTCAAAATATGATATGGATGAATTGCAAGAAAAAAAAATATATATTAATCCGAAATCATCTTTATAATTATAAATGTATATTTAGATGTTGATGTGGGAACATGAAATATCAATATGAATTTAGTAATGGCTAATGGCTGTCTTTCTTGTTTTAGCCAACAATTGGAATTGCTTAGAAATTATAGAGATATTTTGAAAAAAATTTGTCATCCCGAGCTTCATTTTTAAAGCCTTCTCATTAAATTTTAAGTGTATTTTTTTTTTTTTGTTTCCGTGAAGTCATCAATATAAAATTTATTTGTAGACTAGTAAGTATCACCATGTTCATATGATCGTTATCCATCTTACCCATGCGTGTAAACGAGTGGAGACTTAGCTCGTGTTTGGCTTGTTAAAAAATATTAGTATTCATGTTCAACTTGTTTGCTTAGCAAGCCGAACACGAGTGACTTAAGGACTTACAAAATAATTAACCTTTATAACTGATAATTGAACACGAGTGGCTTAAGGACTAATAAATACTAATTAAAACTCGTGTTTGGTTTGTTAAAAAATATCACTGTTCGTGTTCGGCTCTGCTCGTTTGCTTAACAAGCCGAACACGAGAGCCAATTGAAGGTTTTAATAAGTTTAATATTTTGATTTCTATGAATTGCAAACCTGTGACTAATTTTGTTACGTGAAAAAAACCTAAGAGAGGTGTTTTGAAATTCAATACAAATGGTCGTTGGAGTAGTTTGTTTGTTGTTAGTGGTGGATTTTGTTGAAATTCCATGGGTGTTCGCTTACCATTGTTTTCTGCACCAGTTTCTGTTGTTTCTCCTACTCGTGCTGAAGCAAAGGCGGTAATCATGGCTCTACTTTTGGCTGTTTGATGCGGTTAGGATAAAATTGAGATTGAAATGGATTCTCTAGAGTTGTGGAATCACTGCATTAAGAAGGAGTATTCTTGGTTTTTAATTATTCATATGAAAAAAAATTTAAGCTTTACTTCAGTATGTGCAGGTTCGGGGGATGTTAGTTAATCGCGAAGGTAATCAGTGTGCTAATTGGGCTGCCAAAAGAGGTTTGGCTTCTCTAAAGTTTCATTTTTCTATTACTGTTCTAATGGAGCTTTCTTAGTCGATTAAAGAGAATTATTTAAATATTCCTTATGTTCTTACTGATAAGTTTTTCTAATATGTTTTCTTGCATTAGCTGTATTCATAGCTAATGTTTCTTGGGTTTTCATTTGTTTTTTTTTTTTTGAGTAAGTTGTTTGTGTGGGGGGTTTAGTAGTACTAACGACCAAATCTTTGTAATTATATTTTTTATGAAATAAAATTTCCTATGGGATTATTTAATGTCATAGAG